AGCGATGGGGGGCAGACAGGGGGGGCTTTTGGAGTCCAAGTGGCCGGGGGGGTGCCGGACGCCGTCCCGGCTGGGGGGGCCCCTGCCCACACCCCAGCTCTTCTTTGGATGTGGCTGTGGGGAGCGCGGCCCCGAGGCTGTGGGGCTGTGGGGGGGTTGCTCCCACCCCACCGGGCCTTGGAAAGGGAATGGAGATGGAGGCTGAGAGAACAGGAGGGCGGCGGGCGTGGGTTAAAGGCAGGCGGCCGGGGGCAGCGGGTGCCGGCTGGTGCTGGCGTAGAGGAGCAGCAACTGCAGGGAGAGCAGGACCCCGAGGGAGGGGGTGAAGGATGCCCCTCGGCCGCAGTCTGAGGTATCTTCCTGGGGGGGCAAAGGGAGAGCAGACATGGGGCACTCACAGAGCCAACAGCACGCCGCAGGGGGATACGGTGTGACCCGCCCCTGTGCCCCCACATAACGATGCTCCCCTGGGCCCCCCATGGTGATGCCCCCTCCCTTAGGCACCCTATGGCTCCGGATCCCCCAGAGGGAAATCTCATGGCTCTGATCTCCCCCAGAGAGGCCCCCAAAGCTCTGTCCCCACCCTTCCCAGGAGGGCACCCCAAGGCTTTGCCCCCCTCCGGGGGATTCCCCCCCTCTGATCCCTTTCAGCCCCTCCCCCAGCTCCGTGCCCCCTCAGCCCCTCACGTACTGTTGCATTGTAGTCAAAACAGATGTGGGGGCCTTTCCGGTAGCGGGGCTTGTCCACCAGCTCACACTGGTTCGGGTCTCTCGGGGGAGCTTAGTGGGTCAAGGAAACGACGGGGACCAGTGTGGCAGGGGAACACGGCGCACCTCAAGGTCCTCATGGTGCCCCATGGCCATGAGGCAGCTCCCCCTGCCCTGCCCTCCCCTTGCCCCGTTGTCCCTGTGCCACCTGCAGGGATGGCACCGTGTCTCCAAAGGATACCCCTGACCTCAGCCTGCAGCAGCTTGACGGACTCGCATTGGCTGCACAGGGGCTTGTCGGCCACCACGAAGAGCAGGTTGGTGTTGGCCAGCCTCTGCGCATGGAACAGCCTGGAGGATGCACGGGTGACGTTGGCCTTGTGTCACCATCCCCCCCTGAAGCCCACGGGGACACCGCCAGGATGTAGGGGACAGACCCACCTGGAGCAGTTCCCGCAGTCGATGATGGCATTGTAAGTGGCGTTGACGGTGCTGAAGTAGTACTGCGTCTGCTTCATGATGCAGCTCGTCTCCCTCGCCTCCATGCCTTCTGCCATGATGTCCTCTGCATTGACACAGTGTCCCGTGGCTGTGGGTGTCCAGTGAGGGGACATCACCCGTCCACCCACCCCTGGGACCAAGGTGGCTCTCACCTGTCTGAAACCAGCTGCTGTAGGTGAGACTGTAGAGGAACTGCTGGAAGAGGGACCTGGAGATGGGAACATGGCTGTGTGAGCTGTGCATCCCTGAGAACACACTGGTGTCACTCAGTGGTGCCCCAGACAAGGGATGAGGCACAGATGGCGCTCACAGAATCATGGAATCGTTTTGATTGGAAGTGATCCCTTAAGTCATCAAGTCCAACTGTTGGCACAGCTCTGCCAAATTCACAGCTAAGCCAACACATGTCCCCAAACACCACATCCACATCTCTTTGATGCCTCCAGGACGCTGACGCCGATCACCTCTCTGGACAGCCTGTCCCAGGGCTTCACAACCCTTTCTGTAAAGACATTTTTCCTGATATCCAAACTAAACTTCCCCTGGCACAGCTCCAGGCCATCCCCTCTCATCCTACACCCGTTGCTTGGCAGAAGAGATCAACTCCATCTTGTCACAGCCTCCTTTGAAGTCATTGCAGAGGGTGATGAGGTCTTCTTGAGCCTCCTCCTCCCCATGCTAAACGATCCCAGTTCCCCCAGACTCTCCCCACTTAGATTTGTTCTCTAGGCACTTCCCCAGCTTCATTGCTTTCCCTTGGACACCCTCCAGCACCCCAACGTCCTTCTTGCCATGCGGGGCCCAGCACTCACCAGGCTGCCGCCGAGGTCCACCAGGCCAGGTTCAGCAGGTCGGCCACGGTGGGCTGCGGGAAGAGGGGTGGTGAGGTAGTGGGACCCATGAACGATGCCAGCACAGCCATGGGTCGAAGGGCACTCACCACAAAGACACCACGTGGTGCAGCACCCGTGTTGCTCTGGGCCTCAGGGGCACAGACGGACTGGAAGTCGTAGGACTCTTTGCGGGCATAGAAGGAGTTGTTGTAGAGGGCAGACATCAGGTTGGCGTCCACCTCACTGAAGAACTTGCCCACCTGAAGCGGGACATCGGAACGGTCTGCATCCAGCAGCACAGAGCAGACCTTGCTTCGGGGTTTGCTGTGGCAGGGACTCAAGCGGGGATGCATAATGTCACATGTGACATGAATTTAGAAGCCTCAGCTCCCTGCTGCCATCAGGACTGCAGCATTCTGGGGATTGCACTGCTCACCTGGTACCAGTGATCCTCCTGGTTGGAGAGCACCAGGAAGCCACCGTCATCAATGAGGACGCAGATGAGGTCCTGGCAAAAGAGGGCAGCGTCACCCACCTGCCTTGTCCTCTGTAGGCAGGGAGTGAGGGACTGCCAGGACCACCCTCACTCACCCCTCACCTGGGGGCTTCTTCCCCATGGGAGGGCCTGAGGCTAGGGACTAGGGACTAGGCACCACCCAACCCTGCTCAACACTCACCTTGTTGTTGGCCTCGCAGTCCATCTCACAGCTGCTCGAGGGGTCACACTGTCAACCAAAACGGTGGCAGGGTCAGTGGCACCGTCCTTCCCTGCTCAGGGGAGGATGTGCCCCTGCTGGGCTGGAAACTGGTGCCATGTATTGGGTGATGGGGCCGGAGCTGCAGGCCATTGGGGACATGGGCAGCAGCGCCCAGGAGTGCTCCCCAGTCATGTCCCTGGTAAGCAGAGCCCTGTCCCCATCCCCAGCCCTGTCCCCAGCATACCCGGCGGGAGCCCAGCTGGTCACGGTCTGTCCGGTTGCTTGCCAGAACCTTGAACTTCTCCGCCCAGGCCTCCAGGTCCAGCTTCACCCCGACCACTTGGGGAGAGGAGCCGCAGTCAGAGGGGGGAAGGGCTCAGCCCTGGCTCTGGAGGGATGGGGACATCCCCAGCACAGTGGTACTGTCACCCAGCCCCTGCACACCTGCTGGCTTCAGTGTCTTGCCCCCGATGCTGAGCTCCACAGCGGTGCTCACCAGGATCCCAATGGTGTTGTTCTCCAAATCCAGCCCCTGGTAGCCATCTGTGGAGGACAGGGGTGGCACGAGGTGGCACACGGAGACAGCCAGGGCACACCTGCAGTGCTTTGCAGGCACTCACCATCCCTGTAGGGTGGTTTGAATATGTAGCCCTTGTTATCCAGGCTCCTGCGGTAGAAGCTGGCATTGAAGGGCTCCGGCTCCTCCTCCCAGTCATCTGCAGCTCTGGAATGGAGCAGACACAGCCATGGGTGCCCCTTGTCCCCAACTCTGCCATCGGATCTGCCACCACAAGGAACCAGGCATGGGCACCCCACCAGAACACTCACTTGTTTGGGAAGACACGGGTGATGCCACCATCTGTGGCTGCGAAGACAGCCAGGAGACTGTATCTGCAGGGAGAGGGGGGGATGCAGAGGCGGGGTTTCGTTGTGTCCCTGTCCCCTGTCCCAGCCCCTCAATGTCCCCACATCCCCAGGGACAGCTACAGGGAAGGGTCCTCTGTCCCCTGCCTACGTGTTGAGGTCCTGGTCCTTCCAGACGCGCTCCACCAGCTGCTGTGTGATGCCTGTGTCCAGGATTAGGTTGTGCAGGAGGAAATTGTCACCTTGGGAGAGGAGCAGCATGAGGTGAGGGCTGGAACCTGTGGGGCTGCTTGTGCCCCATGACCTGCATCCCCCCCCCCCCGTGAGCTGACCCCGGCTACTCACACTGCTTGGAGTCTGGGGTCACCTTTTCCATGAGGGCAATAAAGTTCTCCAGGAACTCGGTGTTGTTATCTGACAAGTCGAGGTCTTTGCAATACTCTCTGGGATTTGGGTGACAAAATGTGTGGTTCACAAGGATGAAAAAGGTAAGATCAGTTTTCCCCCCATGCCAGTCGTGCTCATGTCCCCTCACCTGCTGGGCTCCAGCCAGGTGCCCACGGCCCCATGCCACCTCCTCACCCCAAACCCAGCATGGCAGTGAAGAGCGAGCTGTGCTGGGCTGTGGGCATCTCCACCACCTGTGGTACCTCTGGCTCCAACACCTCTGCAGCCACTGAGGTACCACCAATGTGCTGTTACCTCGTTGGTATAAACTGGTGCGCCCCGTGTCCCGTTCTCTCCATTCTGGTGGCACTGAGTGCTGTTGCAGCCACCAAGCTACATGTCCCCATCCATACCCGCTGGCAGTGGTACTTACCTTGGGCACATGCTGGGGACCCTGGTGACAGGGACGGTGATGCTGTGCCCACCCTGCTGGATACACCCTGGGTCTGGTTGCTGGGCATTACTGGGGTGAGGGCTGCCTTGGGACCCTTTCCACAGGGCCACCGTGTCCCCTCTCGGGGGAGCAACCATCTGCACAACCGCGCGGATGCACACGGGTACACGGACGGCACGCCCACAGGGAGAATATGGGATATACGGTTTCTGAAAATGATTGGTGGCACATCCTATGGGTGCCTGCTGAACAGGAGGGGGCTCGGGGAGCTGCTCCATGGCCCAGAGCGCTCACCCCTCTTTTCGTCACCCAAAGCTCCACAGCTCCAGCTGCAAAAGCCGCGTCCCCCTGCTGCGTCCTGAGTCAATGCTCCCTAGCTAAGGCAGGGCAGCTTGAGGCAGAGCTGCTCCTCCCACTCCATTCTCCACCCCTATCCTGATCACACCATGGGCAGCTTCTTAGTTATAGGATTTATACATTTCTTGTTGAGATTCTGCTTTGGCTTCCATGGTTCTCAGGCCTCACTGCCCCTGCACATCGCCTGAGGATGAAGGACAGTCCCAAAGTCACCTCTGATGCTGTGCTGCAGGCACCATAGGATCGACCTGCTGAATGCAAATTGCAATGATGAAGACCCCACCAGAAGGCTGCTTGGCTACAGCACCGGTGCACGAGCACACAGATGATCTGCCAGAGGTGTTAATGAGGAATGCTCATGGGTTGCATTCTGCAGCCACGAAGGATGGGGTGCTGGGTGCCTGCACACCCTGCCTGGTGCCCTCTGCTGACTGTGATGCAGGTGGAGGGCCACATCTGTCTGTCCGTCCGTCTGTTCATCTCGGATTTTCAGAAACTATACCTATATATGCACGTGCATAGGCAGGGCCACGCCACGTCCATATATACCGCGCTGACCACAAGCCCCCGGGGGGAACCTGTGCCACCATCACCGTGCGGCACGCGGGCACACAACACAGAGCGGCAGGGGAGGTAGGCAAGGCGAGGTGGGGGCAGCGGGGCCGGGGGGATGCACACCTCGGCAAGCGCACACACAGAGCTACCTGGGAGCAATGAACACATGTCCCTCCGACTCAAAGCTGTTGGGCAGCAGGTATTCAAAATCTGCAACAGAAAGGCGACGTTATCCAGTGGGGCTGCAAACGGAGATGCTGGGGGGCTCAGGAGGGAGAGAGACGGACAGAGAGAGGGCAGGGACAGAGACCGGCTGCGTTGGTAACAAGAGAGAAAGGAAAGCCGTCGTGCTGGCCGGAGGCCCCCGTGGCACGGAGTGCCCACCAACGCGCTGCCAGCATGGGGAGGATTTGGACCGAATTGGCGTCGGAGCACGGTTGGCTCGGTTGGCGGCACGCTGGGACGCGTGCACACACACGCATATATATGCGCGCGTGGATATATATGCATGTTTGGTGGCGTCTCTCTCTTATTAGGGTCATCGACAACGGGAGGAACCGCATGCTGTGCTCGTGGAGAACCGCCGAAACACTTGGTCATCGGAGAGAAAAGGAGTTTTCAGGCATCGGCATGGCCAAACCAGGCACCTTGACGAGGACAGTCCAACCCGCGGCTCGCCAGGGACAAGGGCCGAACAACGCGCTGTGGGATCCTGCTGCGGGCCCCCCCCATCCCTGGGGGGCACAGCCGCAAGCCCTCGGCCACCCCGCTCCTATTTGGGGGGTCCTCGCTCCCGGGGATGTCCCCTAGGGGCAGCGGTGGATGCGTGTGTGGGGAGGTGACATCCCTGGTCCCCATGGTGTTCCCCCTCCCACAGCGCGTTGTGCGGCCGGGCAGTGAGGCGCGGCCGGAGGTTGGACTGTTGCTCTCCGAGGGCTGTAGGCAGGGACTGGGAACAAGCCGATGAGAGGAGGAGGAGGAGAGGAGCACAGAACGCTCGCACTGAGCCCATCCGCATTGCCATTGCAGGGGCAAGGAAGGAGGCAACTCAAGGCTGATGGGACAGGGCTGAGGGGGACACCGCTGCCTGCTGCCGCTCCCTGGCTCCCGGCCCCACTGTTCCCTCCCTGTCCTCCCACTGCGGCCATGTAGGCGCCGTATGATGTGGGTGTGCGCTTGGCAGGGACGTTGCCATGCCCCACCATGGATGACACCGGTGACAACCACCTGGCTGTGTGGGGTGACCACCTGCAGACCCCGATGCCAGGACATCAAGCCCTGGGGTGAGAGCTGGTGCCTGGATGGGGCTGATGGCATCCCTGCAGGGCAGGGGACATGCAGCACGGTGACATCACAGCCCCAGAAAGCCCATCCCAGGGGGCAAGGGAGCGGCGGTGAGGGCACCGCTGGGGTCCCTGGGCCCCGTCCCTCCACCCCACATCCCCAGCCCTGCTCTGTACAGCCCTATCCCGTTCAGGTTGAGTTGTCTTGAAGGGGGGGAAGGAAGCAGAGGAGCTGGGTTTGGGGCAGGGAGAAGAGAGCCGGAGGGGTGAGAGCAAGGAGAGGGCAGCGAGAAGAGGGTTTGGCAGAGGAGGAGAGGGATCCCGGCTAGCTACTGAAAACCTCGTTCATCAAAAACGATTTTGGATGAGACCGGGCCTGGAGCAGTATCAGGTCGGATTTTGGAGAGATGTGCAGGAAGGGAGTGGGGTCACCGTGGGAAAGCTCTCATGAACATAACAAGACATGTCGCTTCCAAGTAACAGGGGGCTGGAGGAGTGGAGGAGGAGAGGACGAGGAGGAGGAGAAGGAGGTGGAGGAGAAGGAGGAAGAGGAGGAGAAGGCAGGGTCGTGGCGGTTTGCAGGTTCGGCAAACGGGCAGGGAAATGGGCAAGCAAGGAAGGTGGGAGCCGTGGAGGCAGGGCTGGGGCCGACACGGGGCGGGACGGGTGGTGAAGGTGAGTGGTCTGAGACTGAAAATACTTGCCCTTCATTTTGATGTTTGGTACTGTGTGAATCCACCATAGAGAGAAAGCAAGAAAAACAACAAACAAAAAAACAACAAACGAAAAAAAAGGGGTTGGGTGGAAAGGGGGGAGGGGGCACAAACAATATTTTATTCAATCGCCGTTTGAATAAAAATATTGTGTATCATAATCATACCAAAAGGAAACCTCTTGCAAAAAACAACACGTAAAAGAAAAAGAAAAAAAAAAGTAAAGAAACAAAAAGGCCACAGTGAAATAATAAAAGATGCCGAGATATCACTAGAGAAATATATATATATGTTCAGTACTCCAAAGGAAAATGCGAGTCAGCAGCAAACACTTGCAACAGTCTCGGTACAGCGATGCTCGCACTGCGGGGCATGCAGAATGGCGGGCAGGGGGCGGAGGTGGGGACCCCCCTCCCGGGGTCCGGGGGCTCCTGGCGGCCACAGGGGCCGAGGGCCGGGGGTGGGAGCTGGAGGCTGCGCCGGCCCCACTGTCGGGAGAGGGTGAGGGTCCGAGGGGGGGGGGAGAGGGGGCCAGGCTAACACACAAGTACACGGATTCAACCAAAAGGAAAAAAATCGAAACCAACCGAAAGCGAACTCAATGAAACAATAAGAATGGTTGAAAGCAAAGAACTGTAATCAAACAAAGGAAATAAATAAACAAAAAAGACCCATGCAAACTTTCACAGGCTTGGCAAATTCCCTGTGCTGCAGTGCTATCCTGGCCCCAGCAGTGCCGGCCGCTCGGGTGCCACGTGCCAGCACCCGGCCCTGGCGCAGCTGGTCCTGCCTCGGGTGTGTGCGCTCACCTCCTCGCGCCTCTCGGGCTCGCTTTTTAGTTTGCTTTCCTCTCACAGCTATTCTCATCCCTTTTCTCATAGGGTTTGGCTTCGTTCTTTCCCCCCCGACAGCCGTATCTGGGGGGTGGGCAGGGGCAGAGGGTGTGCGGGGGGGCACGGAGGGAAGGGGCTACTTACACTTCACTTGCAGGATCTGGTCACTGAGGTTGGCCTGGATGTAGTAGGTGCTGTAGGGGGGCAGGACCAGCCCCAGGCTGCGGGGGAAGAGCAGATGGGCAGCGTAAGGCATCATGCAGCAGCCATGGGCATTGTGCGGGCATCCATGAAGCACCCAGGACAAACATGGGGCACCGAGAATTCCAGGGGCACTCATAGGCATCCTGGGGCATCCATAACCATCATGGAGCACCCACTGGTATCGTGGGGCACCCAGGGCCACCATGGGGCCTTCATGGCCACCATGGAACATCTGTGGCCATCAAGTGGCACCCAGGGCCACTCCAGGGTGCCGAGGGCCATCGCGGGGAACCCACAGCCATGATTGGGCAATCACAGCCATCCTGGAGCACCCAGGGACATCCTGGCGTACCTGATGCCACCTTGGTGCACCTAAGGATGTTGCTAGAGCACCCGAGATTTCCCCATTGCCCCCAGGGCCATCTCCTGGGCAGAGGCAGGTGACAAGCCAGCCCAGCCGAGGTTGAGATCAGTACTGAGGGCAGTGAGTGCCTGCCTGGGTACCTGGGAGATGTGTGCAGAATACAAACCAACTGTCCCCAAAGAGGGGGAGCCAAAAAGAGCTGTGACCCTCAAACAAAGGGTCAGAAGATTCCCAGTGAGCGGAGAAAGGAGAAAACTCTTATATGGCCAGTGGCTCTGGGAGAATCCATGCACCTGGAGGGCTCGGCACATGAGAATGTGAGATGGGGGTGGGAAAGGAAGAGATGGGAGGTGGTCCTGGGGTTGCCGAACCCACGGAAGATGCTGTGGGAGTGTGCCAGGCTGGTGGGCTCTGGCTGCAGAGATGTGGTGGCATGTGGTGACAGCATTCACGCCCAGCGCCGAGCTGGGAGAGCGCCGTCTTCAAGGGTAGCGCTTGGCGGTCCTGGAGGTCTTTTCCAGCCCAGAGGATTCTGTGGTTCTACAGATGTGGAGGAAGCTTTGCTCTCCATCTCCAAAGCAACATGTGCAATGACCTGGAGCGCACCTCTGCCACTCCCTGTCTGTGGGACACACTCGAGGTGGCCTCGGAGACCTCTGGAGCTCCTTGCATGTGTCCCCATGCTGGCACAGGTCCTGCTGAGGCCGCTCACCTGTAGTTGGTGCTTTTGATGGGAGCCCACGTGTAGGTCCTGAACACCTCATCGATGTATTGCTGTTGGGTGGGGAGGTGGGTTAGGGCTCTGCATGCTGACACTGCCCCATGTGGCATGCCCCCTCCCTGCAGCATTACCTCATCCAACGACTTGATGAGTGTCTTGATGAACCTCTGCCCATCGTTCCCATCAATCATGCTTCTCCGGATCTGGGGGACATGGAGAGGTGTGTGAGGGCAGTCTGGCTCCCGTGCCACCAAATATCACCCAGGGATGGTGACTGGTCCCCAGCGGCAGCCCAGTGGTGCCAGCCTACATTGCCGTGCCCCAGTCCTGCCCACCTCCTCCTTGTTCTCATCCTCCAGCTCGGCGTCCAGGAAGTCCAGCGTCACTGGCTCACGGAAATTGATGATCTGTTGGCGGAGGGGGAGGGCTTAGGAAGGGCTCAGGGCTCTTGCAGGCATTGCTGAGCACAAACATACTCATCACAGTCCCCCACCCACAATGGGACAGAGTGGCTGCTGTCACCTGACAGGCAGCCTGTTAGCATGGAGATGGGTGGAGTGTGACATAGCTGCCAAAGAGACAAATGGGCCACTTCATCCTCGCTCGCTGCCCAGTGATGAATTCCCACAATTAGCTCCTCTGCAGGAGCTGGCTCTCCTGGACAAATGAGCCTCTTTGCCCAAGATTCCTGGGAATTCCTATTTCTCCTGGGTCATGGCAAAATCCTACACACTGCTGTCAGGAGGGTGGTGGGAGCTTCACACATGCTATGTTTCCTGGCCACGGTGTCCCCCAGGGGCAGAGGTGAGGTCCTAGCCAGGGGCACACCTGCTCACCTGGGGCTGCAGGTTGGGGTGCAGCAGCACGTAGCCGTTCAAGTCAATGGCGAAGACATAGCCATTGGCTCCCAGCTGTGGGGGGACATGAGGAGGGGTGAGCTGTGCCGATCTGTGGTGAACCCATGCCACCCCAGAGCCCAGCCTCTGCAGGCTCCCAGCCTCCCCCAAGGCTCATTTTTCCTCTCCAACCCCCAAAGTTCAGCTCCCCCTTTTGTGGAGCCCTGGAATGGGAAGCATGCAGGTGCAACGGAACCCAGCCATTTTCTTCTCTCCTTGACTCTGAATTTTGTGTTCTGAACCACTGCCCATTGTCTCTGCAATTGGCTCTGCTCTGTGTTCCCAGGTGCAACATGCCCACCACCACAGGCTTTGCCACCCTGCTGGAGGTGCCCAGGCCATGCTCAGTACTTCAGTGTGGCACCAGGACCCTGGGGCGGGGGCAGATGGGACAAAAGCTCCCCACGCACATTGTATCGTGGTGTCAGCTTCTTGATGTCGTTCAGCGCCACATCGATCCCCATCACGCCCAGGATGAGCTGGTTCTGGAAGGCAGCACAAGGCAGCAGAATCAGTGGGTGCACCCACACCCGGGGCCAAGCCCTTCAGGCAGCACTCACGGGTGCTCATGGGAGCTGTGCTCATCCTCTGGCTCCATAGAGGGGACAGGACCCCAGGAGTGCTCCTACCTTCCTGTCACTGCTGTCCTCTGTCAGGTTGAACACAGGCAGCGTGCCCGTCACCACCAGCCCCAGCCCCTGTAGCAGCACAGGAGGTGTCACCCAGCCTTGTGGTGGCACCTGGCTGTCACACTACACCGGGGCTGTGCCAGGTGGGCATCCTTACCAGAGCATCCTGGTAGACGTTGGTCCACTGCACCTGCTTGGCACGGTTCCCAGCCAGCACCATGGGCCTGCCCAGCACATCCAGGTACTCCTGCAGGGACAGGGGCAGGGACAGTGAGACAAGGGGCACAGACACCTCCTGCATGCTCCTGTCCTCTGCATGTGCAGGATGGAATCCTGAAGTGGGGCCACAGAGGTGCCAGCATGGCATCTCGCAGGGAACAGCTCTCCCCAAGGGTACATGGCGACAGCCCATATGGTGAGGGAAAGGGGCAGGGCGTACTGCACAGGACATATTCCAACAGCACATAGTGTTTTGGGGCCGGGCAGCTTTTTGGGGTGCCCCAGAGGGCAGCTTTGCCTGCTGCTGTGTATCAGCACCCCGCCTCACCTGTGTGTTGATGCGGATGGCACCAATAGAGGGGATTTCAAAGTAGTAACCTCGGAAAGGAAAGAGAGATGCAGGTAGAGAGCCAGCATTCTGCAGCATTTGTCCCGCTGCCTGCCCATGCTGCCAGCACCACTGCCAGCCCCCAGGTGCCAGGTGACCCCACATCCCAGGGGGTGCTTCCAGCCACGCGTGCCCAGCCCCTGCTCACCTTTGTTGGCGCATGCCATCCACTGCAGTGGGGTCACGTCATAGTTGTGCTGCCCCACAGAGAAGGTAAAGACACGAACCTGCGGCACAGCGTGGCTGTCAGGGCACATGGCAGCACTGGGATCCTGCTGCAGGGCCCCAAGCTTGTCCTGTGACCCCATCCCCATGGTGCTCAGAGCCTGCCAGCCCCTGCCCATCCCCGTTGCCAGGCAGTGGGGAGCGCTCACCGTCTTATTGGGCCAGTTGTACTTCTCAAAGACATCTTGCACCCGGTCCTCACCACCGTCCGTGAACATCATGATCATCTTGTTGCAGTTGGCACGCGTGATGTTGGACTGCGAGGCAGAGTGTGAGTTGAGAGACGATGCACAGGGAGAGGGATGCTAAATCCCAGCACCCATGGGTGCCCCCAGCACCCATGGGCACAGCCTTGGCTCACATTCTGCAGCTGGTCGAAGGCATACTCGAAGCCAGCCTTGTAGTCAGTCGTGCCCTTGGCCACCATGCCCTGCACATCCTCCTTGAAGACCTTCTTGTTGCGGATGTTGGCCTGCACCAGATGCTTGAAGCATGACACCGGCTTTGCCTTTTCATTGAACTGGGAGGGAGAAGAGAGAGTGGAGGGTCTCGGGAAGGAGAGCGAAAAGCAGCCCCAGCAGCACATCTGTTCATTGCAGGGGATTTGGATCAGATAATCCAACTCAAATGATTCCATGAGTCTACAGTTCTGTGATTCCATGACTCTATGTTTCCATGATTCCGCAGTTCCATGATTCTGTGGTTTAGTGATTCCATGATTCTATGATTCCATGACTCTGTGGTCCTAAACTCATGAGCTGGAGCATGTCCCAGCAGTACAGGGACACTGGGGGAACTGGGGACACTGGAGTGATCTCAACCTGAGTGTGCTCACCCGTCACTTCAGGAAATCAGTTTGCTGTTTTAGAGACTAGATTTCTGGCTTCTCCAGTCCACACAGCACATCCTTGGCCAGCACTCTGCTTATGGTGGGTCAGTGGGCACATCCTGCTGCCTCTGCAGCGTGCTGCATAGCAGCAAGTGAGCAGGGAATGAAGGGTGATGGAACAAACTCTTTAATTGGCACTCTGGTATGTGTCTGGGGCATCTGGGTATGGGTGAGGGAACACGTGGTGCCGAGCTGAGCTGAGCTGAGCTGAGCCATGCTGCATAGAGGCAGCAAGAGCAGGTGCTGCCTTCTGCTTCTGCTCCGTTTCCTGGCAGCAGGGACCGCATTAGGGGAGCAGTGATGCGGTAGAGGGGCCAGACGTGCTAACGAGCACCGACGTGGTCACGGCCGGGGGGGGGGGGCAGAATCTGCTGGCAGCACAGCTCGTCTCCAGCACGGCCACCACACTGCACTATGTCACGGGCTAGTGGCACTGTTATACAAGCCAAAGCTATTGTCCACCAGTAACCCATGGCTCCCTCTGACTTTGCTTGGGGCAACCCCCAGCGGCTCAGCGTTGTTGGGCTGATAGCCACCATGCCCCCAGCACTCCCCAGAGATCCAGGACCCCTGAGGAGCATGGGGCAGGGCTCAGCCAGGCAGGGCTGGATCCCTACGGCTCTCCTTGAGCCGGCCTTGAGCTGCCCAGCAGCTGCCAGCAGCACCATTTCAGGATTCCTTGTAAAAGAAAAGAGCAGGGCTCACTGAGGCCACGTTGACGTAGTCATCATCCGAGAGTGTGTCCAGCATCTCGTGGACCGAGGTCTTCATCAGCTTGAGGGTGAGGCCGCTCACACTGCCGCTCCTGCCACAGAGAGGGGAGTGGGTACTTGGCACGGGGAGGGGGAGTGTGGGGTGCCCACCGCCCGCCCGCTCTACTCACACATCCACGATGATGACCATGTCCTTTGGGGATGAAGCACCCTGGATGTACCTGCGGGGCACAGAGCGGGGTCAGTGTGTGGCAGGAGCTGTGCTGGGGGTCCCTAGCCCTGCTGATGCTGTGGCCCCACCAGGTGGGCGTGCAGAGAGGCACGGCCAACTCGCCGCTGCATCAGCTTAACGAGCTCTAAATGCTAAACTCCTCCATCATCGCAGCCCTTTTCTGCACGCTGATTGTGCTGACACATGCATCCATATTAAAATGCTATTTACCCCCCTGGAAGCTTCAAAGGCCAGGCTGATGAGGTTATTTTTAGCTCTGGAATAATAACGGCGTGGAAATCATCCTCCCACCCCCCCCAAACAATCAGGAGCGCTTTCTCACCCCATGGATGCACCCAGGCTGTGCAGAGGCATCTGGCTTGGCCCCAGCCCTGTGGCACTGTCCTACAGAGCATAGGGATAGCTCTCCCCCTGCCCCAACCCAACCCAGCACTGCTGTCGGGCCGGGGGCTCGGCTTGTTCCCCCCGCCTGCTCCCTGGGAACTGAGATGCTGTCTGTAATGGGTTGTGGCACCGCATTTGTCTCCAGTGTCCCACTCAGATTAATACCCAGAGCTCTGCAGGAAAAGGCTTTATTTAATAGGGCCATTTGTCAAGGAGGGGAAGGAAAGTGAGCGGCACTGGCAGCCATTGCCGTCCGGTGGCTCTGCCTGTCCCTGGAGAGGCTGGTGGCATGGCTGGGACAAGGGGACCCAATGTGCCCCACAGGGGGCTCTGGGGATGGAGCTGCCGGGGATGCTGGGGCACAGGTGGGCATCATCAGTGGAGCAGTGTTAATTGGCACTGCCAAATGAGCACATCTACCTGGGCTAATGGGGAGTGACTCCATCATACCCAGTGCAGCGTGTGGCTCAATGCAGCCTGCAGCCAGCACTTAGGCACCACGGTGCTGGCACTGCCTTTGCTGTCCTTCTGGTTCCCTGTTTGCTGCAGGAACGCTATGTGGGATCGGTGAGGGGCACCTCTCCCTACGCCATTGAGATCTGAGGGCTTATCTCCACCCCCCAACCTCCACCTCCCCAGTGCTGGAGGAGGGGAGGGAGCGGGAGCTGAAAGCCGCAGCCTGGCTGCCCCTGCCTGTGTTATTGTATCCATTTTCCAACGCCAACGATGTGTGAAATGAAAATTGGACAGAGCTGGCTGCTCACAGCGCCGGAGCGCGGCGTGCCGGGGGCAGCGGGAGGGGGCACAGGGGACAGGGGCCCTCGCTGTCCCCCCCTCAGCCACTGCCCCCTTACCAGGGCCGTCTGCGCACGTCGTACAGGTCGATCTTATTGGGTGCTCTCCATGGGGTGGCTGTGGGGAAAGGCGAGTGTTGAGCAAGGGGGACCTGGGGACAGGGGACCTGGGGCAGGGGGCTGCCCACATCACACACCAGGATAGTAGCGGGTGACGCCGGTGGCGCTGCCGAAGACCTGCCAGAGCAGGGAGGGGTCTTCCTTGCGGTTCTCAATGAAAACGTCCTCCAGTGCCTGCGTCCAGTTCAGCTCGTTGAGGATCACGGTGGCTGCAAGGCACAGACCGGGCGGTGGTGGGGATGCAGGGGACAGCGGGCACATGGCACACCATCTCCCTTCTACCCCTTCCCCAGGAGCCTCATGGGGCCAGGCTGCACCAGGCCCTGCTCTGTGTTTCTGCTGTCCCCCGCACCTGACGCTGAAGCAATTAAGATGCCGTCAAACAGAGGTTTTAAATTATTCAGCTATTAAAGCAGCAGATAAGCTCCCGGCAGCCTCAGCCCACAGTTACTCAAATGGGGCCGACAGCATGTGGGGACAGCGGCATGTCCCCATGGGCATGGGGCTCCTGGAACCCTGATGGCTGTGGGGCCCTGCGGTGCACCAACACAGCCAGGAAACCCCCTGTTCCCTTGGTGACAGTGAGGACTGCCACCCCTGGGTGACGTGTCCCTAAGCCTTGCCTTGGGGCAGCACAGGGCTCAGCACTCTGGCGTGCAGCAGTGTGTCCCCGTCCCACCTCACCCTCATCCCCATCCCCGCCCCACCAGCAACTGATTGCAGCTTTAATTAAAAGTGGCACTGTAAATAAAACACATATAGGATGTCATTTGCATGTGTAGCCAGGGGTGACGGCAGAGGGTGGCTCTGCAGGGTTTTAATCAGTGCATGGGGACGTGCTCTCAGGACTGTCCCCAGCCTGGTCCCCAGCAGGGTGGTGGCTGTGCTCCCGCATGGCACCAGCACTGCATTGGGGTTTGGAGCAAAGAATGCTTCCGCTAGCCCACTCTGCCTCCCCTCACTCTTATCATTTGTCTCATGAGCCGCTTGGCCTGTGCTGTCTGGGTAATAAAACTAATTGCAATTTCTAATCCAGAGATGCTGATGTGGTGAAATTGCTCCGGCAACATGGCTCTGAGTGTGTGAGACAGGAGCATGAGCTCTGTCCTTGTCACCTTGCCCAGGTGCTCTTGCCAAGTGCCAGTAAGTTAGAGTGTAGGGGGTGCGGGGCCATGTGGGGGTCGTGTTCCTCAGCAACGGTGCCTGGGCTGGGTGCAGTGCACGGATGGAATCAGGCAGGGAGCAGTGCCCGCTCTGTGCAGAGCAGCCACTAGAGGGAAATGCAGACCGGCTGTCACCATGTGTCAGAGGGACTGTCGCTGCGTGCAGCTGAGACGGGAGAGCTGGGAGAGCTGGGAGAGCTCTCGCTGCTCAGGAACTGTCACCTCTCTAAAGTGGACATGTCAGCCTGGCCCAGATCCACAAGCTGGTGTGGCACATCCTGCTCTTCCACCACACACACCATTGTTCATCTATCTGTTCATCCATCCACCTGTCCACCCTTCTGTTCACCCACCCACCTGTCCACCCTTCTGTTCACCCACCCATCCATCTATACATCCGTCCATCTGTCCATCCATCCATCCACCCACCCATCCATCAATCCACCTATCTGTCCATCCGTCTTTCCATCCATC